TTCCTGATGTTTTTGAGGATATACTGTAGGGGTAAAAACTGCAGCTGCTACTAGTGTGAAGTGAATGGACAGCAACAAAGCATTAACGCAAAAATGCTGTCCCCTCAATGTTAATGTAAACACTGATTGGATAAGGATTCAAAACTGGATATGAAGATGAAATCTGACGCACAGTTTCAGTGTTACAACTGATAAAATAATTGCTGTCTGTGGTTCTACAGTAGGCTATGGTGTAATTGAGCAATATATGAAAAAAAAGAACTATGAACTAGTTCATTTTTTTGAACTGTGAACTTAGTTAAAAATTTTGAATTATGAACTATGAACTGAACTAGTTCATTTTTAAATGTGTGAACTGAACTTTGAACTAGTTCACGTAGAAAGAGAACTTTTCCAACACTGCCCTTAACCCCACACTGCTCGCTGGGCACCACACAATGGCAGCCCACTGCTCCCCAAGGGAATGGGTCAAATGCAGAGAGTAAATTTCCTCATTGTGGGACAATAAATGGATTTACATTTACTATGAAGTCACTTCTCAGAATGCAAATGAGAAATCCGTTTTGGTGTGAATAATGTCTGTTTTGTTCTTCATGTAACCCCACCAGACCAAAAGCTGCCCTGGGGAAGAAGCCACATTGCCTATATCAAACTGGATGAAATCCCTTTTTTTTACTCATTGTGGATCTGTGGTGCCTGGGTATGCCTGGGGCACTGATTTTTTTAATTGATTAAAAAATTTTTTAATCAATTAAAAAATCAGCTCTGTTCTCACAGCGAAGTTGAGAGAGGAGAACTCTCCCAATTAAGCCACTCACAACTGATCGACAGCCGAGACGCTAACATTTACTGTTAAAAAAATTAACTTACAGCTCTCCTATCTTTCTGGCCATGATATACACACCTCATAGGATCATGACCATCACACCATCATATAATGGGCCGCAATAGAAATGATAAACACAGACATGTATGTATGTAGAGGTGTTTTTTTTTTTTTGTTGTTCTTGTTTTTCCTTTTACATTTGCACATTTCAATTCTCTGTTTTCAAGTTCACGTGTGCTGACAGATATTTATTGAAAATAAACAGTGCCTTCATCAGTAGTGGATTAGGGATATACAGTTAAGTTCAAAAGTGGGCCAATTCAATCCAGTTTGGTTCAGGTAGATATTCACTAAAAAAATACTGCAACCGCTTTTGGCATTTACTACAGCTAACCTGAAGCAATTGTGTTTAAGTAACTAAATATGATTGAATAAATGCCAAGAATGGTTGCATTATTTTTGCAACGTTTAATGATGCAGAAAATAATAATCTGAAATATTTGCTTGTGTGCTTGCATTAATTATCTGTGTCAATGCTTTTTAAAATAAACAATTGCCCCCATTTTTTTTTTTTTTTTTTTTGGTGCCCTATTGTATAGTATTGGGTCAGATGATGCCCCAGGGTGCAACCCATGGTACTTGAACAGTAGTTGTAGCACCATAGACCCACTAGAGCCAGTGTAATCTGAGGCTGAGGTGAAAGTAGTAAAGAGTGGGTTAGAACTTCATGGCATTGATCAGTTCTCATCCAAAGCGCAGGTCCAGGATTTCTCTTTCCCCTCCTGCTACATCAGGCTTCCTCTCTTGGAGGATTCCTCCGTCTCCACCCCCTGAAGTTGGAGATACGCACACGAGGTCCATCCACCTGGGTGGTCTCTCTACTTTAGTGAGCTGTTGCTAAGCAGCTAATAATAGTCGTGTTTGCTCAGTAATTTTTACCCTTCTGGAACCAATCAGATTCAAGAAAGTCTTGCAATCTGACAGTCCCAGAGGCGGGATCTAGAGTCTTTTTTTCTCACCCCTCCTCCTTTACTCTGAGGTCTTTTTGCTCCCTCCTCTATAGAGTCTCAGAGTTGGCCGTGACGCGCAGCCCATGGGAAGACCACATAGGACTGAGCAGAATGCTGCGACCATCGAGCTTTCCTACCCGACCACTTGCGCGTGGGGATCCCTTTGCGCGCTGCGCTTTTTGAGACAAACTCGTCCTTTTTTTCCTTTTCTCTTTTCCTCTCCAAACATTTCCACAAGAGACGAGGTGAAAGCGGTGAAAGCGGCGGGGAGCCTCCGGATCACGAAATGTTGGGATGGAAGGCGCAGACTTTGACTCGCCGTCTCCAACAGGAGTATGAAGTCCCACTTCACGGGTGTGAGGTCTCCACGAGTGAAACTCTGTCTCCTCGGGATATCGCTACAGGCTTTCAGGGGAATACTATAAAGTGGGAAACGGTAACCACCTCGCAGTCCCCGCAACATGGCCTCGGCTGCTAATGCGCCCTCCGAGCAGGAAAGCAGAGAGCCCGATCGGCCGAGGATTACGCGGAGGAACAGGGGGGACTATCCCCGCGGCGCACCGCTGGATCTGGACTATCTGCAGCGGCCGAGTTACTGCGATGCGGGCTTTGCTCTGGAGCAAATATCGGAGGTGCTTATGTCTCATGTTTCACTACGTGGTGCCTGTTTGATTGTATTTACTGGGTAGGGGGGCGGGGGAGTGGGCAAACTATAGGTAACAAGACGTGCTGGGAAGCAGGGATACGAGGAGAGGAAGACAAATCTTCAAAATGCGCGTTAAAATACGCAATTCATCCAAAGCAATTACACAAACATTGCAGAATAATTTGCTTCTGTTAAAGTTTGTTGCTCTTATAGTTATTAGAGAAGTATCCTAACATGGATAAATCTCCATGTGCTGCCTTCTTCCATTCACAAATATTGCCATTTCAGCCCCCCCACCCCTACGCGCGCACTCTCTCTCTCTCTGTCCTGATGGCTTCTCCACTCCCCATGCAGACCGGAACACACGGTCAGCTCCACGGGGAGAGGGGTTGTCTGTCTGCCTGTGTGTGTGCAGGAGAGAGAGCGTGTGTGGTGGTATTTGTGGGTTTTAACCACATGCACTCTTCAGGGTATTTAATATCACCTATTGATGTAAAGCCACCCCAGGGACAGTTCAGACTGCTTCCCTTCAAAATACAAAAGATTTGGTGCAGTGGGATATCAATGGTGTATTCATAGCCAAAGCATCAACCTCCCAGATTTGAAATGAAATGCAAGTCTGACAGGAATAAATTAAGGCTATTAAGTCAAGAACCTACAGAATGCATAGAGTTGCACCATACTTTGAATTAGGGCTGAAACAATCGGATTAATCGATTATTGAAATAATGGTCAACTAATTTAGTAACTGGATAATCGTTAACTGGAGTATAGAGACTGTAAAACATGCAATCCACCTTGAGCAGCAGTTGTAACAAAATTGTAATAAAGAAAAGAAACGTTTGGCATTTAAGATAAAAAACCAAAAAAACCAAAACATTTTTGTCTGGCAAAATGCTTCATCCAGAACTCTTCAAGTGGGAAATTTTTACTTTCACCTTGTTTAATTTTGTAAAAAAAAAAAACTTAAAGGAACCTTTGGCTATCTGATTGTTAATTGAAAAAATAATCAACAGAATAACCTACTTTGAACAAAGTTGTTATGCCAGTATCAGTTTGTGTAACAGTGGAATAAACAATAAGCAATTTGTAGTGAATGACATTCATAGAGCTAAGGATTGATGCAAAGTCTACTACTTTTTTATTAAGTCAAATATTATTTTATAAAACCTTATTCATACTGCTACTACTAATAATGATAATAGATAAGCTTACATTGGTCTAAACCAAGTTTGGAATAGTTTACACTCTGAATACAACCTTTGATTATTCCACATATCTGTTAACCCTCATTCTGCTAGTAGATAGGATCTGGGATCAGTTATGTCCTTGCAGTATACCTTAACTAGAAAATAGAACGTTAATTAAAATTCCTCCATATCAAAAAGGGTGACAAAAAAATCTGCCTAACACATATAGTCATGGTTGCATGGTTCTAGGTATGTTGCAGCCCTTGCAGAAAGTAATCTCCTATTATTTCCATCTTTTCAATGTGAGGGTGGATTTTAGTTAAGGAACCAATTGCAGAGATTGAGGGAGGCAGAGATGAGTTCTTGTAGGTTTAATGAAATAAACGGCAACAGGAACAAAATCCAATAATAAAACCCAAAAAACTAGGACACGTCAGGAAAAAAAAACACACTTGGGGACTCAAGTAACAACCAACACTGAAGAACTGCACAGGGACAGTATATATGGGAGAAAGAAAAAGGACTGAGGTAATCAGCTGATATGGAGCACGTGTGGATGGAAGTGACTAGAAGGGAGCTAGGGGAAAAGAGGTGGGCACAAGGGGGCTGCAGAGAGTAACTAAAGACTGCTTAAGTATAAAACAAAATGAAAAAATAAACCAAAGATAGACAAAACAGAATTACTTAGATAACCGAAAACTCCAAACTCAAAGCCAAAAAGGGAAAAACCATACCACATCTATTTTTAAAGTCTTAAACTTTTCAGCTTCACTTTATTCAAAGCCCATCAGCGGAGCTCCGAAATGACGGCAATCACTCCACATTAGATATACCAACAGATATGAATGTTTCAGCTCCCGCAAGGCATTTATTGTATGAAAATGCAATCCTTTGCAGTGTTAAGGTGAATCCTAACGAGTAGGCATGCACCCATCGATGGACTCCAGGTCATAATATGTTGTAATTAATTCTTCCCTAATCCTTCCCTCATTTTTCTGTAAAAAAAAAAATCTACCTCCTTTTGGATGTGTTTCTGTGAGTAAAAACTCTAATTTCATGCAAAGCACATTAGTACACATTGTTTTTCGACATATTGGGTCAGCTTTACCTTCCCAGGTAAGTGCAATCTTTTTGTGCTTCTGCTTGTTGTAACTTCAGCTCTCTTGTCTTATCACAGGGGAAGGCGACTGGGAGGAAAGCACCTCTGTGGCTGAGAGCGAAGTTCCAGAGATTTTTATTCCGGCTGGGCTGTTACATACAAAAGAACTGTGGAAAGTTTTTGGTTGTGGGCCTTATGATTTTTGGAGCTTTTGCCGTGGGTTTAAGGGCAGCTAATCTGGAAACGGACGTAGAGAAACTCTGGGTGGAAGGTAAGGCAATGTTTGATTATTGGCTTTAAGGTTACAGTTGCTCAGTTTCTCTAATTAATGAATGGAAACTATCAGTTATGAAGATTTTTTTTTAGAGAGGTTGTTCCAAGTTTGTGTTGTGGAAAGTGGCCAAGCAAAACTGCAGGATTTACAGAAGGTAACAATAACATCACCCGTGAAGAAGGTTGTAATTAAGCTCATAAGCAGCCCTTAGAGTTGAGGAAATTTTTTTGTCAAAGCCGCCATTTTGTAAGTGTGTGTATGTGTTGGTGTGTGTGAGTCTGCCCCCAGCAGCTGAAGGCTCACAGGCTGTGTGTGTGGTCCTGTTTTTGGACAGCTCTCAACTTTCCAAAAAGATTTGTTTCTGGCTGCAGGGAAATAGCGGAGCAGGGACAGGAGCTTTGGTGGAGGTGTCACTCATTCTTCTTTTTTCTTCTTCCTTTTTCCTTATGAACAACTCAAAGAAATGAAGTTTAAAATAGGGAACGCAAGTATGTGCCTGGGTGGTGCTTTGGGGGCAATGGGAAGAGGCTGAGCTTTTTCCTCCTCTCTCTGATCTGCATTCCTGTACATATGGCTAAACTTGGCTGTTCTACTCATTAATGAAAAAGCATAAATTGTGACTTGCGATTGTGTTTGAAAAGACTAGATAATCCTTTAATATTTATTATTTGTGTTCCTTTATTCTATTCTTAATTTCCCCCTTTTAAGCAAAGATATTCCAAAGTTTTTTAAGTTCAGGCATCAAAGCAGAGAGATTCTCCACCCCTTCCCTCTGGGTTGGCAGCCCTAACCGTCCCTGTGTGCTGCTGCAGGGGTCTGACAGACAGTGGTCTTCTAATACATAGCGCAGGCGCGGCTGGATCACGGTTTGTGTGGAGGGTGGCCTCTTCAGGCACACATTCCTGATTGTACTCAATGGATCACACTGTTTTCACACAATTTTCACATGCCTAACCCCCCCTGAGAAAACACAGTAAGCTATATCAGATTGATAGAGAATGTCTTCACCTCTGATGAAAACCCAACTCTTTCTTTAGGCAAAAAAACAAACTTTTTTTTTACCTTGCCAGTTCCCGACCAGGTCAGAAATGTTACGCCTGTGTGTTCAGTTATAGACTTCTTCCATCAGACTGTACAATGCGGCACTAAAACTGCAATAACTTTTGCAGTAACTATTTTACAATCCCTATTTAATACCCTGTGCAATAACCTGTTTCTATTTAATACCCTATGCAATAACTAATAAATATATATATATATATATATATATATATATATATGTATGGGGTATATACATTAATTATGAATTAGGAAGCTTAATAGTCATTGTAATTCTTAAATTATACATAGTTATATGTTATCATATTTCTTTCTTTGCATAGCCCTTTATCTGCATTCATTTTCATTCTAAGGCAGATCTTGGTATTTTACTCTTATGACCCCTGATAAAACCAAAGTATCTATGAAAAAAAATCCTACCAGGAGATACTATTTGTAGTCATATTATAATCAATCCTTAGTATAGATTATGAGCTGATTAAATAAAATTAGTTTAATTCATTGGTTTTTGAAGTGGGTGATAAAAGCCTTGCTGAAAAATATATCGAAATAAAAATAGACCTGCTTAGGCAACTCCTTGGTGTACTGTACATTTTGGTGTGACTCTATTATGCCTTTTTTGGTGTAATTGGGAATATTGAATCCACGGTGAACCTTTTCGGTTGTGAAGATTTACTCTCCAAGATTTTGATAGTTAGTAACCAATCTGTATATCTAAAATGAGGTCTGTGAGGGTCATCGTTTTAGACTTTATGGATATAATGTAAGTGAATATGTTGTTGGATATATAAAATTTTGTTGTTTTAACCTTGAATGTGGTGTTCAAAAGTTTGAGTCTTCACCATTGAGTAGCAGTTTTGGTTGTTTTTGGTGCTGAAACACTTCGTGATTGACTTATTGAAATAATCGTCAACTTATTTAGTAATCGATTATTGTTAAATGGAGTATATAGACTCTAAAATATACCTTTAGCTGACTGATCAACCCACTCAGAGCAGTAATTATACCAAAATATATAAACATGTTTCATTTAAGAGAAACAAAATGATTTCCTCTCTCAATATATTCTATCCAGAACTTCTCAAGTGGTAAAGTTTTAGTTTAATTCGGTGTAATTTTGTAAAAAAAAAAAAAAAAAAAAAGTCTTCTTTAAGGAACCTTTACTGACAGTAAGAGAAACAAAATGATTTCCTCTCTCAATATATTCTATCCAGAACTTCTCAAGTGGTAAAGTTTTAGTTTAATTCGGTGTAATTTTGTAAAAAAAAAAAAAAAAAGTCTTCTTTAAGGAACCTTTGGCTGTCCAGTTATTAATAAAAAGAACTAATTGACACATTAATAAATTTGCAAAATAATGGTTAGTTGCAGCTCTAGTTGTTTTATGTCGATTCTTGCATAAATCACCTGTTACCTCAGTAAAAACAATGTTAACCTGCTTTCACAACCAAGAATTGAACTTTTTTTTAACATTTTTATTTCACTGTATTTTAGTTAAATAAATGAAAGAGTCAAGTGGATATTTTCTACCAGCAGGAATATTGGTTATCCTGCCATGATGGCTATAAACTCTAAGGTTGTTTGTAAACCCCAGAATCTGTTAACATGGTTGGGTCATCGGCTGTTTGAAGCATGAACATTATTTTTAACACAGCCTCATAAAGAGTATTTTGCATTTCCAAATCTGTGTGACTATGGTTGTTTTCTGTTTGCACAACTAAATCTAATAGTTGTAGTGAAGGACCCAGTTCTCTAAGGTTGAGTCCATTAAGTATTTGAATTTAGTTTGAGTCCTGGTAGTGCAAGAAAGGGTGTAAAAACTCTGCCAAGTCTGTGCAAAATGTAGTGACTTGCAGTGGCATTACCTAAATAAGAGGGCAGCAGAAAGGACACTTATTTAATTAGCCAATTTGGTCATAGGTGAGTTTTTAAAAGTTCATAATATTTACCCCCTCAGTGAATGTCCAGCATTTTCTGTGCGTTCATATGACATGTCTTAAACAGAACGACAATAAATGAAAAACAAAGGGTATAGTGCACAATTTTCAAAATAATAATCTACAAATACAATAATCTCCAAGTGAGTATTTTGCATTTAATAGTTATTACAGTTTGCTGAATTAAAAGGGAAGAAAAGAGAAACAAACTGACTCGGTGATTAACTACATCATACAAGATTAGGGCTGCAACGAAACTGCAACTAAAACTGATTATTTTGCAAATCGATTGATCTGTCTTTTTTTTTTTTTTTGATTAATCCATTAATAATTGGATAGCCAAAAGCTCCTTAAAGAAGATATTTTTATGAAATTAAAACAGGTGGAAATCAAACTGTTCCTCTTGGTTCTGGATAACGCATATGAACAGATGAAAATGTTTTTTCAAATGCAAAATGTTTATATATTTTTTTCACAATTTTGATAAGATTACTTCTCTAAGTCAGTTAAAGGCATGTTTTAGAGACTATACTCCATTTAATGATTAATTAATTACTAAATTACTTGAAGATTATTTCCATAATCGATTAATCGATCAGCCCTATACAAGATGAGTACAAAAAAGAGCTGTTTTTGTTGATGTTTATAGATGAATCTGGTAGGAAGGGGCCATATGGAGACTAAAAGGGAATTTCATTTTAAAAAGCGTTTGTCTGTAAATCAATCCCCACACATGGTCAGACTTGTACAAACAAGCATCATTGGTATTTATTCAACACAGCAGTAGACAAAGAAAATGTACAAAATGCAAAAACAAGCACACATTCTGTTTGGGAGGTTTTTAACATCAAATTAATTTTTTTCAAAGTGATGTGATGATTTCCTGGGTATGCATGCTCAGTTATCTCCCTCCTGGGTCAAATATAGGTCTGCAGTTGTAGTTTCTTTATTTTCTATGTTTTTTTTTTTAATTAGTTCTTCTACTATCTTTACTTTGTTGCTACCAAATCAAGTTCATGTTAAGTGAACAAGGGGCTCGTAGTAAAGTGATCTTTAAGGAAACACTAGTCAAATTTGAACACATACTAAATAGAAAAAAGAACCTCCTCGCAACCATATACTGTTATAGACAGTGCTGTGGTGGTTTCCTAGGTCTCGGTGCATGAGGGGTTCCAGATGCTGGTAGGGAGAGATCTGTTTGTTTAGATTAGCCTGCACAGCTGAGGGATAGATTAGTTCTGCCTGGACCGCGGAGCCCAGTGCTGGGCCGTGCTGGGGGAACTGGCCCATCATCCGCGAAGAAAAAGAGGCGAGAGGAGGAGAGAACAGAGCAGCTGTTTATGTTTCATGTGGAACTGCCCTCCGCAGGCGACCTGTGGACGACCCCGCCGGGGGAAGCTGTGTGGCCCGTAGACGCACATACAGTACAATGCAGCCAGCTCTTACTGGAGCTCTGTATGATCTTCTATGGGGTCTGTCCTAGCACAGGGCTGTGGCCAGCGGCCTCCAGCCGTTCAACATCAACTGCATACCGCACTTGTCTCGTGTGTTTATTCCTCATGTTGTCACGTGCAGAAGCATTAGCAGGGATTGTCTTCTCTCACTCTGCAATGTTTATAAGTGCTCAGACACAGGAAGTTCTGTTTTTTAGACAAAGTGACAGAGAGCTATTGGGAGCGAGATGGTGTTCCTACTTTTTATAGAGCAACACCAGTATAAAAAGGCGGTTAATTAGTCATCTGCTTTAGTACCCAGGCTACACAGTCAACTGCTGATCAGACGCCCCTAGTCTGACAACTGTTTTTATATAGTAAAATGGCATTTAGCATGAAATAAATGTAGTCATTTTCTTAAGTCTACACTCCATAAAACCGGACAAAACCTTAGTCATTCTAGAACGTTCTCTGATATCCCATTAAAAAGACTTATTGTAGGAATTAGGCACCTAAAAATTTAAGAGGTTTTGGAACTTTAACTTTATAAGCTGTCGCAATGTTGCCAACT